TGGGTTTATCTTTTGTTTTTGTTTGTTTAGCTCTACTGGTCTAATTCAGAGGCACTTATTTGATGAAATTGACCATGATCTTTCTTCTTCATGCTGTACTGTATAGTCTACCATTAAACTCCTTTGAAAATACTTGAAATGTAGTCTTAACAGAGTATAACATGGCAAGGAAAGGGGTTTATTTCAGATTTTATATGAGGTTAGCAAATGATAAATAACTAGGTACCTTGGTACCTCAGAAATATTTTCTACCACCAAATGGCAACTTGAATCAGTGTAATAAAAAGTCTGCACTCGCACAGCAAACCCTTTTTTTCAATTAAAATACAAGAATCTGAGCTGAATTGATAAATTCACCTGCACAGGATGCCGCAGTACATGAGTATTAAGGTCATCTCTTTTAAAGGAGAGCCCCACCTGATGAAGGCAGACACTGAATATTGCACTATATTTCCTGTGGCTTTTTGTGGAGTGGGAACTTGGCAGTGGAACAGTAAGTGTGGTAGATTTTAAAGAAGCACACTTGAGTAACTCCCTTTAATTGAAAAAATGGGAATCTGTCTGTGTCATTTTAGCTATGCTAGTTATACACGCCAGCACTCAAATTTCAAGTCAGCTCCAATGTAACAATCAAAAGTTTGAAAATGAGGTGAACCTGTGAGCCCTGAACTTTGCTGAAAGATGATATTTAAAAAAATATTTGTATCATCTCATTTAATCTGTGACATAAGTAAATTAGGAGGGACATGACAGGCTGTGCCAGCCATCCAGTGAGGCCAGGATAGAGAAAGGACACCTCCTCCCCTGGCCCTTCTCTTTTCCTCCAGACAGACTGGCCAGTAACTGATGCTCCAAAATTACCCAGGTATTTGGCAGTAGAACAGTGAGTGTTTCCATATGGGTTCAGCTGCAGAGTCTGTCAGATTAACACGATGTGTTTGTCTTCTCTTCGCTGTTTAGCCTTCCACAAAGTATCCCCTTCAGAGCCCTGTGGAATAAATGGGGGAATCTGTGGAGATTTGGTGGTGAAGCTTTAAAAGGAAGGAGACAATTAAGGTTTTATTAATGGTGTGACACTGACGTTAGCCAGATCCACCTGAATGTTGCATCTAAATGCTTGTCCCTGCTGTAAGGTGAGATGGTTCTTCTGTGTGATTCGAAGTCTGTCAGTGTCCGTCTGTCCATTTGGCTCACTAGCTGACAGTCTGGCTCACATCTCATTACCAAGTAGAGAGCAGAGGAAACACACAGTTCTGCTTGTCTGGAGCGTGGCAGTTTCACTTACACCGCCATGTTAATGATAAGAGACACTAAAAGCAGCTCAGGTTCTCTCCATTTTAAAAAGGGGGAAGAAGAAAATAGGTAGAATAAACTCACTCTAATGAAGAAACAATATGGTTCTTTGATGTTATGATATATCTGATCATTTTATGGCTGCAGTAACTGTACTGCTTGGGGTGTATTTATTCGGAAACAATAGCAGTAGTGTATTGAATCAGTTAGCTTAGACCTTGAGCCCAAAGTGAAAAGCACTAAGTTAATAGCTGGCACATGAACAATACCTTATTCAAATATTATAATAGTATTTAGGGAGTAGATTATACATTTAAACACTTCTATGCATACACACACAAAGAGCTGTCATATCAGTATATCATTAATGCACAGAGCAAAGCGGAAGATTTTCAATTTTTAACCATTTTTACACACAAGGGAGACCACAGATATAAATAACAGATTTAGCAGATTTTACTATTGTAGGCATAAGAATGCACACAATGGATGATTCAGTCGAGGTGCAGGACACAGTGTTTTTAGCTACTTAACAGTTTCAGAGTGCAATTCCAGGAATTTGGAATCTCAGAAATTCGTGATCAAATGTGCCGATACCACTTTTTTCAGACCGAGGACAGGTACTTTTATTTGAGTACTTGCTGATGCCGAGTACTGACACAAGTACTTAATAATAGTGCAATGTTTCTACTACAAAAAATACTATGACCATAAAAACTTTAGACAGCTTATATTTTCATGGGATTTACCTTCTGACTGTGATTAAATTATAACAGGAAGCTGTGCAAATTTGAAAACTGTGATAAACAGCACTGCCACCATTCCTGTTGAATACAACATGCACATCATATCACACTCAGCAATTTAAAGGTTTCATTTAGCCAGGGTACATGTTTTTACTTTAAACTGGCTACTGTCTGTGGCTTCATCCTGTACTCTCTGCTGGACACACACCTGCTCTGCTAGAGCAAAACTGCTGGTCTCCACCTCCATGTTTGTTGCATATAGAGAGCTGTTGTTGCAGTAAAATGCTAACTACCGCACCTCAATATCTTGGCTGCTTTGGAGGTTGAACAGCTGGTCCTGTGGTGTGGGCACAACAACCTGGAGCTGACTAGTGGAGATGACATTGGTCTGCAGAAGGAGACAAATTCCTCTTGTGTTCAACACACCTGGCCAGTAAAACGGTTTCTGATTCTGATATATTTGTATTACAATGTTGGCAGGTAGAGAACAGAATGGGATTCGGGGATCTGCTCAGAATGACTGATGAATCACTGTTCTTAAGAGATTTTCCATCGCTGTTGCTTTCACACTACAGGATTTCAAGTTGTAAATATCAAACGTTTGATATTTATGAATCAAAACTCAGGAGACTCCAAGCCAGCTGGTAGCATTAAAATCACATCACATGCCAGGATTATTTGGGTAGAACTGGTTCAAAGCAGTCTTGAGTCAAGAACACCCCCTCTAGGTAGGGACAAACTGAACCTAATATCTGCTCAATTATCCTCTACTGTGGGGCCAACCTAAGATCAGTTAGAAGGGAAAAAGCAAAAACTATTTCCATTTGGAATTGGTATGGTTGGTATTGCAAAAACAACCTATTTCTGTATAATCATCCATTCATTAACACTTCTTCTTTGGATACTTTCTCCAGCCCCTCCTGGGGGCCCCAAAATGTTCCCAAGTCAGATGGAATTTCGAATTTCTCATGCTGGGGGGTCTCCTCTGGGGTCTCTTTCCAGTTGGACATCCCTGGGATACCTTTACAGGGAGGCATCCATGGATGACGGAGATGCCTGAACAACCTCAACAGGCTCCTTTCAGAGCAAAGGAGCAGTGATTCCAGCTCCTCACCTCATCCCTAGAAGTGAACACAGATACACTGCAAAGAAAAATACTTTAGGATGCTTGAATCCTAATTCTAATCTAATTCTGTCAGTCCCTATTAGTAAATCAAGAATTTTTCTTGGATAGGACCCTATGCGGTCCTTTTTATGATTGAAAAAAATGTAGACAGATTATTCTGCCAATTAGTGCCAAGCTTTCTGTGCTCCAGGTAAATATTTCCTGCGAGGTTATGGCACTGTGGTGTGAACAGCACTGACACGCTTTTCTTAGAGTTCCTCTTAAAAGATTAGCAAGGTAGAGAGCTAGGTGGTTAGAGGGCTAGGTGAGGTTTGGGAATTCCACCCTTATGTCTGGCTAAATATCACAGAAACATAATGCCACCTTCATTAGCATCATTCTTGCTGCCCCACACTACGCACTGTTTTCTTTGGGGCTGGCGAGAATGAGAGCCTGAACATGCACAGACCCTGCCCATCATTATCCATGTTCAAGATGCCTTATTCTCTGGCCATCCATAACAATCCAGTCATCAAATGAAAACCTGCTGGTTTCCGCAAGTCCCGACATCAGAGTTTTACTGCAGTGTCTGAGGTATGTATTCAGGCATTTTTACATGCTCACGTTGGCACAGTAAGTCCTGGATCCTGAACAAACATTCTCACACAGAAAAGATTTCTTTAAAGGGAGGAGATAAAAACTATGTCAATTCTTCTCTCTCAATCATCACTGACGATGATTCTGGCACGAGAGAAAGGTAGACAGTAAAAGGGGAAATATTTCATGCCAGCCCATGATTCCTTCAAAATGGAGACCATACACAAAGCATAAATCAAATGTAGATCTAACAATTATTGAAGTTTTGTTAGTAAATTTACTAAGAAATAGATGAAGCAGCTGCTACATACATTTACTTGCTGAGTCCTTGCATAAAAACAAGCAGTTTTACAGAACAAAAAGCCCATGTAGCAAAACCCCCTCCTGATCTCTTTCTAATACCAGGAGAGGGAGAAGGAGATTGGCTGCAGATGGTAATGATGAGAGGAGATTAGGGCAGACCGACACAATGTAGTGCATTCATTACCACTGTCTGCCTGCTAGTGTATAGAGATATCAAATATGCTCATCTTCTCCCAAAACTCTATGGCTAT